GAAACACATGGTCGCCAACTCGAAACTCCAACGGTCTACGCCTTCGGTCTGCGTAACTTTTCTGACGGCTCTGAGCTGTTCTTAGCCTTTCCCGGATAATCTTTACTGTTTCTACCGACTGTTGAACCAACTCTGGACCCGTTATACTTCTTTCCCCCACTTCATCCCAACACAACGGTGTTCTACACGCTCTGCCATAAAGTGCTTCAAACGGCGCCATCCCAATACTCTGCTGAAAGCTGTTATTGTAGGCGAATTCGACTAAATGCAGCTGTTCCTCCCAACCACCTTTAAAATCCAAAACACATGCTCGCAGCATGTCTTCCAATGTCTGAATCGTCCTTTCAGACTGGCCGTCCGTCTGAGGATGATAGGCCGTACTGAATTGCAACTTAGTCCCCATGGCCAATTGCAGACTTTTCCAAAAATTCGCAGTAAACCGGGGATCACGGTCCGAAGTGATCGATACAGGTACTCCATGCAATCGGACTACCTGCCGTACATATAAATCTGCGTATTTTTCTAGCTCAAAATCCTTTCGCACTGCCAGGAAGTGCGCTGACTTGGTCAATCTGTCCACTATCACCCAAATAGAGTCGTGTCCCCTTTGGCTTCTTGGCAATCCCGTTACGAAATCCATCGTAATATGCTCCCATTTCCATTTTGGGATTTCCAACGGTTGCAACATCCCACCAGGTTTACAATGTTGTGCCTTCACTTGCTGGCACGTCAAACACTTGGCCACATGCTTGGCCACATCCACCTTCATTCCATTCCACCAATAATGCTGTCGAAGGTTCTGGTACATCTTCGTGCTGCCCGGATGAATGCTATAATTGCTCCTATGAGCTTCCGATAAAATCTCTTCCTTAAGCTCCAAATCATCGGGCACACACAACCGTCCTCGAAACTTAAGAATTCCGTCCTCGGACGCTTGGAAGTCCGGTTTCCTCTTGGTGCCATCCATCTCCAGAATTTTCTGAATCTCAGGGTCCGTAGACTGCAACGTCTTAATCTTGGTTTGCACTTCCGGTTCAATCCTTAACGTTGCCACCAAACTGGAGAGGCGTCCTACCTCAAACTTAAACTCTGAGTCTCGTGCTTCTTCCAATAAAATCCACTCCTTAACTAATAATTGTGCGATGCTTGATTTCCGGCTTAAGGCATCCGCTACCCGGTTGGCTTTTCCGGGATTATACAAAATATCACAGTCATAGTCCTTCAAAAGCTCCATCCAACGCCTTTGCCTCATATTCAATTCTTTCTGCGAAAATAAATACTTGAGGCTCTGATGGTCCGTATAAATTTGGAACCTTTCTCCATATAAATAGTGCCTCCAAATCTTAAGTGCGAAAACAATTGCTGCCAATTCTAAGTCGTGAGTTGGATAGTTCATCTCATGAGGCCTTAACTGACGCGATGCATAAGCAACCACCCTTCCATGTTGCATTAGCACGCATCCCAATCCCTTGAGCGAAGCATCGCTATAAATCTCATATCCTCCCGGTCCTGAAGGGATCGTTAGCACTGGCGCAGTCGTCAATCTCTGCTTCAACTCCTGAAAGCTCTCTTCGCACTTTTCTGTCCATTCAAACTTAGTCTCTTTCTTAAGCAACCTTGTCAATGGAGTGGCTATTGCCGAGAATCTTTCCACAAATCGTCTATAGTAACCTGCCAGTCCTAAGAAGCTTCGAACCTCAGTAACCGTCGTCGGTCTCGGCCAATCCATCACTGCTTCAATCTTTGCCGGATCCACGGAGATTCCTTCTCCGGAAATTACATGCCCAAGAAATGCTACTCGGTTCAGCCAAAACTCGCACTTGCTAAACTTAGCATACAGTGCATGCTCTCTTAACGTTCGTAGAACCTTTTCCAAGTGTATCTCATGTTCCTCGGAGCTCTTTGAATACACCAAAATATCATCTATGAAGACGATGACGAATTGATCCAAAAACTCCTTGAATACCCGATTCATTAAGTCCATAAAAGCAGCAGGGGCATTAGTCAGTCCAAACGGCATTACCGTGAATTCATAGTGCCCATACCTCGTCCTGAATGCCGTCTTTGGGATATCCTCCTTTTTAATCCTCAGTTGATGGTACCCCGTCCTCAAGTCGATCTTTGAAAACATCGATGCTCCTTGCAACTGATCAAATAGGTCATCTATCCTTGGTAGTGGGTACTTATTCTTAATGGTCACCTGATTTAACTGTCTGTAGTCTATGCACAACCTCAAAGATCCATCTTTCTTTCTCACGAATAACACCGGTGCTCCCCATGGAGACGCACTCGGGCGGATAAAGCCTCTATCTAGCAACTCCTGCATTTGGACCTTCAATTCCTTCAATTCAGACAGTGACATCCTATAGGGCGCTTTCGAGATTGGTTCCGTCCCTGGGGCTAACTCAATCACGAACTCCACTTCTCTATCAGGTGGCAGTCCCGGCAATTCCTGAGGAAAGACATCGGGAAAATTGCACACCACGGCTATATCTTCTAGCCTCGGCTCTCCAACTGTCGAATCAACCACATTTGCCAGAAATCCTTGGCACCCTTCATCCAGAAGCTTGGCTACCTCGAGCGACGAAATCCAAGGGATCGAGGTTCCTCCTCGGTTTCCCACAAACTCAAATCTAGGATGTCCAACCGGATTAAATTGGATCACCCTGCAACTACAATCCATAACAGCTCTCTGTTTGACTAGCCAGTCCATACCGACAATCACATCAAAGTCATGCATAGATAAAACCGCCAAATCTATCCTTTCTTCCCTATCACCGATCACTATCTTACAATCGGGACATCCCAACACAATCAGTACTTTATCATTCAGCGGAGTAGTCACACACAGCATAACATCAAGCGGTTTTGGCTCAATCCCAGATAATTTAACGAACTGCTCAGATATAAATGAATGCGACGCCCCCGGATCAAACAAGGCATATGCAGCATGATCACAGAGAGAGACAGTACCTGTGACCACGCCAGGCGCGTCCTGAGCCTCCCTCCTTGCCATTGCATACACCCGGCCTTGGGCCGGCGGCCTATTCTGATTGGCCGGCTGGATAGTTCTAGTTTGATTTTCATTCCGAGGCGGCGGCGGCAGGAGTGCAGGCGACCCAACCTGCCTATTGTTGGGGCAGTCCTTCATCTGATGGCCCCTTCCGCCACATACAAAACAGACTCCGCTCCTATTTGGGCACGGTCCATTCCAGTGCCTTCCTCCACATAGCCTACATGGGGCGTTCTGATAACGGTTTGGCTTCCCAATATTCCTCCGAACGGGAGGGACAAAGCGACTATTTCCTGCCATGGGCCTTTTCCCAAGTTGACGGTCATCCCTAGTCGGGGCATACCGCGATCCAGAAGCAGCGGCCCGATCCGTTTGATCTCGCTCAATTGCCTGGGCCCTTTCATATATCTCGTTATAGCCCCTCAAGTTCAATGAGATCATCCGATCGAAGGTCCGGTTTCACCATCCCGAAACCTCCTAGCTTTGTCCATTGGGTCCTCCACCATTCTGGGGGCAAATTTGGACAGCCTTGCAAACTCGGCTTCATACTGATCTACTGACCTCTGACCTTGGTGGAGTCTCATGAATTCGGCCAATTTCTGTTCTCGGGCACTTTCCGAGAAATACTTGCCGTTGAAGGTCTCGGTAAAAACGGTCCAATTTGGGGCATTACCAGCGGGGAACACTTGACCTCTGGTCGCTCTCCACCAATCGCTGGCATTTTCCTGAAGCTGGTAGACTGCTAAGGTTACTTTCTCTTCCTCAGTACACCCCAGCACCTCAAAAGCTTTCTCTAGCTCTTCTACCCATCTCGGTGCAGCCTCGGGGTCACCTCTCCCATCAAACTTTGGGGGTTTCAACCTCAGAAATTGTTCGACCAGCTTGGACATTGGCCTGATCGCATTTACTCGCACTGGACCGGGATTTCCACCAATTACATTATTCCCTTGATCTCCATTATTCCCAACAATCTCGCTGGCAGCTGCAGCGGCGACATTAGCACTTCTTTCCCCCGTCTGTCTACCAGATAATATTCCTGCTTCTTCGAGCGCCCTCCAGATTTCATCCACTCTATTATCCTCCATAACTCCAGCTAACGGGGCTATGCGACCTCGACCTCGACCTCGACCTCTACCTCGACCCCTACCTCGACCTCGACCTTGACTGCTCATCTTACCGATTCTCACAAACGCTCACCTGCTAAGTTCCACGCAGGAATTAAAAACCTAGGCCAACTCTACCAGTCTAAAGCCCTAGGCAGCGAATCACAACAATAATTCACTAAGCATGCAGCCAATCACATACAACACTCAATCTCAGTCAACCGAGTTCGTGCACTTACCTCAAGTCCTGACGCACCTGCACCTCACACATTATTGCATAAAAATCACTTAGCAAATCACAATCACACGGATCACAGGGTACGCATTGCACACAAATTTCCCTAACTGGCTACCCGAAGTCATCGCTCCTTATCACTCCAGTTTTCGACCACTTGGATCGAGCTGACCTTGCTCTGATACCAAATCAACGGGGATGTCACGCCCCGAACCCCAACGGGCTTGCGACACCCCTTCCACGGTCGTATTGAACGCGACGTCCCAGGACGCGTCGCCGACCCAAACGAACTACGCAAGCGGAAGCGAAATAAAACAACCCGGACAATAAAATATGACGAAGGGATAGCATCAAACAATAATTCCAAATACACAACATCAAAACGGAGTAGTGGTTTGGATATCCTACTTCACTATACAAAAGAGGGGCACACAAAAATATGGGGCAACTTGACCCGTCCTTGATCCCCGAGATACCCTTGCAGCGTCTCCAATCACTCATGGTCGCGGATCTCAAATGGTTATATAATAACCGTGAGAACGAGTCTCAATAAGCAACCCCCTATACCCCACGTAGGCCAATGCGTACCCAGACAAGTCATATATGCAATCTACCCCATAACATATAGAATTCGCATCATTGTACTTACCTTGCCATCAAGCCTATGTAAACTCTGCACGTTAGTTGTCACGTGATAATGCAATAATAGTAATTAAATAGCACATCACAATCGCTCAAACACCAACCACACTTGCACTCAATCAATCCAACTAATTCAACCAGCCAATTCAATCACACTCAATTCGCATGCGTGGCCGAACATCTTTCTCACGACCCGCGCCACTGCGCCTCAGGTCCATTCTCACTGCCCGCGCCACTGCGCCTTAGGCCCACTTGGCACACCGGCCATTCATGCTTTCACACGAACCGCCGTCAACACGTCCCAAGTCCGTAGCCCTCCGATCAATCCGGGCTCAATTTCCAATGACCGACGTAAATACGTCCCGGTCCAACACACCTCTAACGGGCCACCGTCAACACGTCTCAAGCCCGCATCCATTTGGCACACCGGCCATTCATGCCTTCACACGGACCGCCGTCAACACGTCCCAAGTCCGTAGCCCTCCGATCAATCCGGGCTTATAATCGACAGGCATGCACACGCCATTCAATTAAATCAATTTCACGCCAATTGCATTAAATCATCCATATTCACAACTCAATCCAAGTCACAATTCGCCACGTCAATCCACAAACCCGACGTTCAAGTCGGCCACGTACGATCACCCAAATCATGCACATTATTTTATCCAATCCAATTAGCACAATTATATCATAATATAATTAAATTAAATCACGCTCTAACCGTTCTAAACCCGAGACAAGTCATAAAATACCCAAAGTACTAAATAGGGTTTAGAAAGTCACTTACTTCAATTTGGCTCGGGAAAAACCCGCACGGGCTCAAAAACGGGCCGGATGAGAAGTGCCGAATGAACAATAACGGGCCCCGATGAACAGGTGTTCGGAATGAACGATGAATGGGCCCCGGATGAACAAGATACTCGGAATGAACGAAGAACGGGGCCCTGGATGAACAAGTACTTCTAAGGAATAAAGTGACGGGCCTGGATGAACAGTACCCCGGAATGAACAGTGACGCCCCCCCTCGGCTGAACCGTACGAGCAAGGGCGCGGGCTCGGCCACGGCTCGGGGCACTCTCGGGCTTGGCTGGGCAGGGTCGCCGGGGCTAGGTGGTGGTAGACGGGGCAGCGACGGCTGCCGGTGCGGCGGCGCGCGGCTCTTGGTCGAGCGGCGCGGGGAGAGCCCAAACAGGGGAGGCGTCGGGGGAGGAAGAAAAACGAGAGGAAGAAAGGTGGTGGCGGCCAAGGGGGGAAGCGGCAGGTCGGCGGAGGTGGCTGAGGGGAGAGACTGGGTGGCGGAGGCGGAGCGGCAGCGGCCGGAACGGCGGCTCGCGGCAGCGACAAAGCTGGGAGCCGAAACAGGGGAAGGCGTCGGGGAAGAGAGAAACAGGGGAGAGGAAGTCGCGCGGCGGCCGGAGGCGGCACGGCGGCGTCTCGGGTGGCCGGGCGACGGAGGACAGGCCGGCGGACGGCTGGGCAACGCCGGACCACGGCGGACGCAGCGGCAAGCTGCTGCTCGCATGCAGCGTGGACAGGGCCGGTGACAGGCGGTCGCGGGCAACGAGCGGCGGCACAGCTCGGTCGGGCGACGGCGGCGACGGCGGCGACGGCGACAGGGCTGGAGGTGAGCTCGGTCGGCGTCGGCTGGTGCGAGCAGAAGCAGAAACGATCGAGCGGCGAAGGAGGAGGAAGAAGAAGAAGAAAGAAGGAAGAAGAAAAAGAAAAAAAGGAAGAGAGAGAAGGAGAAGGGATGGGTCTGACAGGGGGGCAAACGTGCGCAAGGGGAAAAGGTGACCGGGGAGAGAGAGAGAGAGAAAAACAATAAAAAAAATTAACTTCAATCAAATATTAAATGCGATCCGATGACCCAAATTCAAAATCGAAAGCGATCTACCGATCCAAAATAAGCCTCGCATATAAAAAGGGACAAAGGCCGAATTAATTAAATCAAACTATATCGAGGGAGGTCTACTAGTCCAAATTCGCACCCGGTCAAAAACTCCCCTTTTTCCATTATTCCTGACAATCTCAACGCTGGCTACGATAATATTGACACCGTCCAATTTATTTCGTCCTGAAACTCCCGAAAATCGACTGTCAAGTTCGGGGTCTAAATAACGACCAAATTCGATCGAGCGCGATTCTAGCGAAATCTCAATTTTAAAACAATAACCGAGAGTGATCAGTTCCCGGGCGAGATTTTACTATAAGCACACTGACGAATTACACGTTTTATAAATCCCAACTATGGGCCGAAATTCGGAATATCACAGCCGCCGCCGCCGCCGGTCGCCGGTCGCGGCCGCTGCCGACCGCCGCCGCCGCCGGCGAAAAATATTTTCCGAAACTTTTTCATATTGACGTGCTATGCAGAATATGGCTGTGCTCTGAGTTGGGCTTGCCTTTTCAGTTAGCTATATATATTCATTTGCTTTTGCACACTGTTCCTCTTGTGGGGCAATTCTAAGAATTTCTTTTTCATATATATATATATATAGAGAGAGAGAGAGAGAGAGAGAGAGAGAGAGAGAGAGAGAGAGAGAGAGAGAGAGAGAGAGAGAGAGAGAGATGTATATAGCCATCTTTTAAAATCATTTTGAAGCTAGTTTTAAGTAGAGATAGAATAAGCCTTTGCGTCCTGTGAAAACAGAGTTCTCAAATCTCAGTCTCTTCTCGGCACTCTTCCACCTGGACTGTTCAGATTGCCTTACCTCCAAAACTGTAAGCCTCCATTATCCTCCTCCTCCTCCTTCACAAGCATCTTCATCTTCATCATCATCTCTCTCTTTAAATAGTGATGTCACCCGTAACTACCTGAACGGCACTATTCCTAAAGAATGGGGCTCTATGAAGTTGCTCAACATGTATGTACTCTCTCTCTCTCTCTCTCTCTCTCTCTCTCTCTCTCTCTCTCTCTCTCTCTCTCTCTCTAACACATAGAAATGCGAGTGTATCTTCTACTGATTGGGGAAATCCGATGATGTTGGTGTAGTTCTCTACTCGGAAACCGATTGACTGGTCCAATCCCGATGGAGCTAGGAAACATATCCACACTTTGGAAATTGTAAGTGATCATTCATCCCGCCGCTTGTGAGTGGCCTCTTCTCTGTGTTAAATTTGATTGATGTTGAAGATATTAACTCTCTTCCGCTTAGAGTTGTCGAGATCAATCAGCTTTCTGGACCTCTTCCTCTAGAGCTAGGGAACTTGTCCAAGCTACATCAACTGTGATGCAAATTTTTGCATCATTAGCTCATGATTTTGTATTTGGCGAGGGAATTTTATCCATTGGAGTAATCTGTTGAGAGATTAGCATTCTTGTTTAATAAATTAATGTGATAACATTGGTATTTTCTTGTTCCAGGCACCTTACATCAAATAATTTCACTGGGGAGCTGCCTAAAACATTTGCTAAATTGACAGCTTTGCAGGAGTTGTTAGTTTCCAGTTGCCACAAACTTTGCTAATATTTAGATACTTCTATTCTTTCTTCTTAATATGAATCTTCTTGTTTAATGCACCGTAGACGACTTGGTGACAATCAGTTCACCGGAAAGATACCCGATTTTATTCTCTTGACAAATCTCAATATGCTGTAAGGCTTAATGCGTCTTCACCTTTTAAGTCGGTCTATGTAGATATACCCCTAAGATAATATAATCTATGAATTGTATCATCAGGATTATTCAAGGAAGTGGCTTGCAGGGCCAATTCCCTCCGGGATTGCACTTTTGAAGAAATTGTCCAACTTGTCAGTATGGAATTTTGGCAGTTCGATCTGATCTCTCTTTCTTTAAGATGGTATCAATCAAATAAAGTTCCATATTTGATTTTGATATGCAGGAGAATAAGTGACCTCAATGGAACTGAGTCCCGAGTTCCACAACTCAGCAGTACAAATATTGAGACACTGTGAGATTGATGCTCCTTCACCAATAGTTTACTTTATGCAAAAGAGCCAAAACGTCTTAGCAATGTGACAATATCAGTGCTATTCTCCTATAGGATTCTGAGGAGCTGCAATCTCATAGGAGAGCTACCAGATTATCTAGCACAAATGATGAATTTAAATATATTGTGAGTGGAAATCGACTTCGCCTTTTTTCTATTCCAAGCAGAGTAGATAATCTTACCCTTAATGAGTGAAATTTTTACTAGTTTATGGTTGACTATTAGATGCAGTTAAAAAACCCATTTAATATGGCTTGAACGTCAGCAGTGGCTTACTCGCTTCAACTGTGTTTTGATCTTTTCTGTTGATATTGCTGAATTTTGAATCGTGATGTGGCATTTAAGTTTCTGGTGATGGTGGTCTCTGCTGTAGATTATACAGTTTTGCACAGTAGGCTTTTTCTCTCTTTGTTTTCAACTTTTTCAGTAATAGAAACCACCAGAATTCTTGCCTTGGTTCTGATCCCCATTTTGTCTAATCTACTTTTGGTTTGATTTGTTGTCTTAACTTCTTGAGAGCATTGATGCAAGACAGGAGGCTTCTTGATTGTCTGGAAACTTACCTTCTAATGGTTAACATTCTCCAATCTTAGCCCCATAATATCTAAGTGAAGTTTTATACTTGAGTGTTCCAATATTTGTCAGTCATACCATTCTTAGTTCGAATGAGAGCATGACTTCTAGTGCATCTCTATAAAAGTCGATTCTTCTGATGCCATCTGGTCATCTCTTTAAGATTTTATAAATGCTACATTTAACAGCAATTTTTTGCCATTCTCTCATCATCAGCCATCAACGCTTATTCTTTGTTTTTCTGACATCCTGAATAATAGAGTTTCTATGGTTCTGCTGTGGCTTATCATATACTCTATTCCTTTTTTTTAGGTTCAATTAGGTTGTCCATCAGTAATTATGTTGGACTGCAGAAACATGCTTTTTATTCACTCAAGCTGATATTCTAACTTCTAAGCATCCTAGTCGCTCCTTTATCCATGAACAAAATGCTATAAAGGAAATCTGTTCAATAGATTATGATTAGCTTTAGTTTTGGTCCTATTAGA